TCACAGTGTGCCTAATTTGCTGATAAATGTACCTTGTTAGGTATCATTTTCTCCAGATTTGCATTGACCTTTTCTTGAATTTCAGCAGGAGGTTCATAGTTAAAGTACAAGATAATTAATGGCCTAGCTAATCATATCAGATGTTGTACTGGAAGCACTGAGGGTGAAGCAATTAGGGATTAGTTCAGTAGAAGTTAATATAAGGCTAAAAACATTGTGGGTTTGGGCTTGGCCAGCAGTGAAACTTTGGAAATTTGTAGGAAGGACAAACTCTTTCAAAACAGGCATAAATTCAATGGGCTTAACACTGGTGCTTTATCAGCCACAGCCCTAAGGAAAGCTTGAGGCATCCTGTGCTTTCACTACTAGAGGTCAGGATTTTGAAGTTCACCAAATTTATTTAAAGTTGGAGCTGATGGTAGGACGAGGAAGAAAAATTTGTACAACCTTAATTGCTGAAAATTGTTAAGAAAACAGTGTGAAGGATTATTTTGGGAGCAAAGTAGAAAAACTTTTTGCAGAGAACTTGTCTGTGCTGGCAGCTGGACCCTCCTGTGGCTGAGCAGCTCCTGGTCTTTACCTGGCACAGCACCTGAGATGCCCCTGATGGGAGCATGACTGCACCTCTGCTGGGCTTCTTATCCTGCCCAAGGAAAATGCCTCATTCCAAAAACCCTTCCTTGCCTGCTGCATCGAGTCCAAGCTCATTTCTTCGGGTCACAGAGTCAGCTGTGGAGGCTCAGAGCCTGCAGGAGGGCTCAGCTCTGCCCACACAATGTGTCTGCAGAGAAATGAAATTCTATTTTCCTTTTACTGCTCTTCATTCCAGGTGTCTGTGTATGTAACTCTCCAAGGCACCCTTGCAGCACCTTGCTAATCAAAGCAATATTCTGCAACATTGTTTTCTTACACTGCCCACATTTATTACAATGGAATATCCAGTGGGAGAGAGCAGCCAGTGCAGCAGAATGGTTACTGCAAATAATTGTGGATCTGGCTGAAACAAACAGGAGTCCAGAACATGGATTTGGGGATGTGGTGATATACCATATTAAATGCAAATAACAGAGCAGGAGCCTGCAAGACGTCAGTGCTAGAAGAAGAAATCCCTACCAGCAAAGGGCAATGCAAAAATATTTCACTGCCTTGCTTAAACCAGATTTGATCATTACAAACCTACAATTTACAGCCCGAATTAGGCTTTTGAGTTGAAAACATTATTTCTACCTTAACTTATGGATGTGGAAGCAGAGAAAACACCAGAAGTAGGGACAGATGGCTTGTCATCTTTGTAAGCAGTTCCCTTAGGAATGTACCAACTCTCAAATCCAGTGAATATGTGCCACTTGCCAAGATTTGTTACAGAGCTCCACAATCCCTTGACTCCAGAGCTGCACAGAAAAGCTCTATGTGAAGAGCACAGCTCTCTGCTTGAATTGTCTATTTAGGTACCTAAGAGAGTGATCAGAAAGTCCCATTGGAATATAGAGGGAAAAGAGATGCCTGATAAACCACAGAAGTCATGCACAGCACGTCTGAGGAAAACAAGAACAGTGCAATTCCTTCTGTGTCCCCTGCAGCTTTTTGGTGCTGTGTCTGACCACGTCTGGCTCCAAAATATGCTGCCAATATTTTAACAAGGGCTTGCTATGGACAAAAAGTGTTCCTGTCCAACCTTGCCCATTATCCAGTGGTAAACTTCATGTGCCAGTGGCAACCTGCAATGCAAAGGTAATAAATGTCTCATTTCTTGCTCGCTTGAGGGCTCTTTAAAATAACAATAAACTCCACAGTCTTTACCTTTCCATGCTGAGTTTCAAGAAAGAATTCCCTCAGGAATGAAAGGAATTTCTTAAATTCTCTTTTGTAAGGGAATTTCAGCACTGATTATTGAGGACTTCACCTTCAGCAGAGTGAGTTAAGGACTTGGGGCTGAGCTTTGTGCTGATAAATTTTGCAGAACTCCAGCTCTAACAAAGGAGCTCCTGCCATGCCTGCCAGCAATAAAAGCAAACCTGGAGTTTATCTTGGCAACACTCTCACTTGCATTCTATCCAAAACTATAAAATACTACTATCAGCCCTGAATCCATTGCTTCTGAGCCATGAGCTTCAGGATTCAATTAGTGTATCATTATTAATATACACGGGAGAATGACTCTGAGTACCTTTCTTAGAGATAATGACAGTGCCTTTGCTCAGGCAGGGATGGTGCCCATGAGATAATCTGTACTGCAAAACCTTCATCCTCTATGTCCGTGGTGTGTTCATGTCCTGCAGAAATAGCAGCTGGATTAAACACAGCCTGGTGTGTGTTCTGCTCAAACACAGACCAGGTTCTGCCCTGCACTGTGGCACAGAAGCTCTGATATTTCCCCCTGCAGGGCAATTACGGCTTTTAGGAGCTCTGTTAATATTGGCCATTATATATATATATATATACACACACTGCAGAACTTGTTTTAATTTTATCTTTTTGAGGGTGCTTGAGCAGAAACGAATCATCTGTTTTTCATGCCCAGTGCCGAATGTGGGATGTACCATATAAAATGAGGATTAATCATATCAGGAATGGAAAGCCAGTTGAATGAGAACGGGAGTTTTAGTGCTTCAGTGGGATTTAGATCTGCCTTGGCATGTTTTTGGAGAGCAAGCCCTGCTGACAACCTCCTGCCCTTCTCTCCTCGGCCTGTCCACTCCACACCTCTGCAAAGGCAGCTTACAAAAATGTGCAACAAAAGCAAAAGTCCTATTTGAATGTGAAAATACCCATGATGGGTCCTTTCTTTTAAGTTCCAAGATGTAAAGGTGAATATAAGTGTTTATTTGCATTAAATAGTCAGATACAGGAGTAAAGGAGGTCAAATAAAATATTAATACCTTTATCTTACTCTGAGACAATAATTTGTCTTGCAGCATAAATTGATTATGCTCACATAGACTTTTCCTGAGAAGGCATATTTCAGAGGGGGTCTTCATTCATATTTTTATTCAGGAACAGGGAAACAGAGCCATGGAAATTAATAAAATTTCTTCTTTGACATAGCAAGGAAAGACCAGTAGCAAGAATTTTTCCAGAGGAAAAATAGAATAGAATAGAATAGAATAGAATAGAATAGAATAGAATAGAATAGAATAGAATAGAATAGAATAGAATAGAATAGAATTTTCCAGAGGTGTGAGAGATTCGTGTTTCTGCCAGTCCCCCACAGCCAGCAGCACCCTCCTGCCCAGGAAGATTCCTTCACAGGGAAATTTTACCTGGCCTAAGTCATTTTTTGGGAAGCAGAATTTCCCAATGGATCTATCCTGCTCTTCCTGCTCTGGCAGCAGATTATTTCTTTCCCAAGAAGCAGAGAAATAAGAGAAGCAAAGGAAGGAGCCATGTCGAAATTCAATCCATTCATCCTTCTTGTCATCCCTGTGCAATCAAATTCTCTCATATTTCTTGAGGAGACATAAGGGCCATGTAATCTCTTGGAAGGAAGAGTTGATGAGGCAGAAAATGAATGAATTATCAGCAAGTGCAGACAATCCATGGGAGAGCAATACAAGCAATGCTGACCTTGTGTAAGAGAATTTGTGTGCAAGACGTGAAACCAAACGATGAAGATTTTTTTCTTCCTTTAGTTGGAACTCTAAGCAGTAAGGGAAGAATTACAGGCTGGAATCTTACCAACCTGGATGGCCTGTGTTAATTATTCTGTCATGTTGGACTTGAATACCAAATTTCAGAAGTTTTCTCTCCCAGGCACTTCAGTTGTATCTATTAATGTTGTCAGATAACTTATGTTTCGTGAGAAGGCAAAATTCATTCTGTAGGATCAAATATTGATTAAATTATTTTCTTGTATTTTCATTTTGTTGAAATGAAAGGAATGGTTTTACCTACAAACCTCTCTGAGCACTTCATATGTTACAAACCCCTGTTAAAATGACATTCCAGAAAGCGAAATAATGACAGATTTTTTATTGCCCAAGACATCTAATGTGTGAGTGGTAAATTACTGAAGAAAAAATCAGATTTTAAAAAGTTCTTTCAGATTAATAACATGGAATACTATCAGCAGCACAGGCTGGGCTTTGTTTTAATAAGATTTTTCAGCTGTCAATTTAAAAAATCCCCCAAATCAATACTTTATAGGGAGGACAGCTGCCACAAAATATGATGCCAAGAAAAACAAAGCCCTGTTTAACATCAGAATGGTTTTCCATTTTCTTCATTTCTGTGCTTAGCAGCATTTAATTCCTGGAACTATTCTGGTCCTGATTACAATTTACAACTAATCACAAAATCACTCCCTTTGGAAACTCTGCCTTTTGGCATGTTGTGTAACTAACATTATTCATGGGGATCCTAGCTCAGTTATATGCCCATCAATCACAGCTTCATTTGGATTTTTTTTTCTTAATGTTTTTTACCTTCTTTCTTATCTTGGTTTATTGCTTTCTTGTCAGAAATGGAATATTGCATGACAGCTCCATTTATATCTAATACAGAACATGAAATTATGACATTTCTATTCTCATAAGAAGTAATGGTTGCAATGTGTTCTTGCAGAAAGTACACAGCTACATCCAAAACATTTCTATAAAATAGATGGAAGTGATCTAATTAACAGAGCAAACTCAACGTACATGAAAATTGAACTTCATTCAAAATTCCTCATTAAAATATAACAAAATAATCACAATAAAATCCTAAACTGTTTAGAAAAAAAAAATGTTGCCCCAATACATTTACACTGATGAGACAAGTGCAGTTTCTTTTATTACCAGTCAGCAGGATGATGTTTTCTCTCCAGTCCAGCTGAATCATAAAACTATAAACTCATTTATACATGTGTCAGAACTGACAACCTAAACTGTTAAAGGCAATCTTTGTACATGAGAAAAAATAAGGTTGTTTTACAGCACCTTCAGGACCCTCTATAAATAAAGCTCTGAAAACAAGTTCAGCCCAAACTTATTTTTGAGTTTCACTGGTTCTATAGGAGCAACAACTCTGCTTTCAAAAACGTGGCACTTCCAGCCGAGGGCAGGACAAACCCAGTTACTCTTGGTGATCTGATCTTCTGAGGGAGTTTTCTCTAAAAGCTCCTGTGTCTGTACAAAATAGAAAGGAATTTGTCAACAGCCACCATCCTCTTTCTCGACATAACTCTGCTAAAACTGGAGCTGTTCTAGTGTAGAACAGGATCGATTTTCCTGCAAGCTTGGTAGCCAAACAAGACAGTAAATAAAATTGCTGTGGGTGGTCTTTGCAAAATCATTAACCATGACTTTGCTACCAGCAGCCTTTTATTTATTTTTATTATTATTTTATTTCCTATTAAAACCATGAAAATGCAACAGGCAGAAAACGATGCCCAGGAAGTTCCACCTGAACATGAGGAAGAGCTTCTTCCCTGAGCAGTGACTGAGCACTGGAACAGAGACCAGAGACGTGTGGAGTGTCCCTCACTAGAGATGTTCCAGAACCCCCTGGACACAATCCCGTGCCCTGTGCTCTGGGATGGCCCTGCCTGAGCAGGGAGGTGAGACCAGGTGAGCCTCTGTGCTCCCTAAAATCCTGTCATTCTGTGCAAGTCCTGCAGCACTGTACTGCATTTCATCATTCTATGACATTTTTAGAGCTAACAAAGGTTTGTTTTTTTTTTTCTTTACCAATCTTAAGAGGCAAAAAAGGGATTTCCATTTTGCTTTTCCTGGGAATGTTTATCAGCATTTTCCCATATCATGAGCCATTAACAAAGCTACCAAGGGGCTCCAGGGGGAACTGCATCTTGTATGGGACGTTTATAAACTGCAGTTGTGACTCACTGATGTGAAAGCAGAAAGGTCAGAAAATAGAACCCAGATCAGCTTCACTTCTCTCCTTTGATTGCTCTTGCCCTTTCTATAACTCCTGTGTGCCTTCCTGACTGCCACCAGTGCTCTCTGACCCCTGCAGACACTGCTGGGGACAAGCAGAGCCTGTCTCAGCCCCTTTCCCTTTTCCTCTGCTTTTCACCTCCTGCAAAGAACAGACTGAGGCAATGGAAAGAAATTAAAAATGCTGAAGCCTGCATCACTCCTAAACAGTGCTGGAGCTGGTTTGCACCACCCAAGAGCCTGGCACAGCTCTGTCACCATTCTGACAGCACTAAAAAGCCTTAGTGACACCAAACAGCCTCACCTGAGACCTCTACCCCCAGCCCTGGGCTCAGACATTCTGATTAAGCTCAGCCTAGGTGTAAAGAATGAGGTGTAAAGAATGAAACATGAGAATTCCTCATTTAGGAACAATTTGGGGCAGCTTTCTTATGCCACTGAGCTATAAGTTTCAGTTAAATTTTAAGCAAACTGTATTGCCCCAAAGCATCAGAAAGTGGGACCCTGCCCCTAAGCCCAGACAACATCACAGAAAATATTAAAATGAAGCAGTGGCAGCAAAGTATCCTGGATGATTATGCTGATGTGTCTTTCAGCTTGGGGGAGACATTTAGGGATGCTGTAATGGATGTCTGTGACACTCAGAGCAATGCACTTGCCACTTGTGATAGCTCATTTTAGTTCACTCTCCAAAATCCTCTCTGACCTCATCCTGCAGTGCATATTGTGCTGCTCACATCCCAGGCAGAGCAGCACAGCAATGAAGCCAGGAGTGGGGAGCAGTTTGCAGCAGGATTCACAGGTGCAGTGGATTTAGGGCATGGAAAGAATTCCTGCTGCTCCTCCAGCCTGCACCCACAGGTGATTTTGGCACCTTGCAGAGCAGCAGCCAGGGCTTGGGGTTCAGCTGGAGAATTATGGAGTGGTGGCTCCTTTCCAAATCCATTTTGTGTTGCTTTTTCCTGCTGCCTGCTTTGCTGGAATTGCAGAGATTATTACAGGAGCAGCACTCGATTAAAGCAGGCAGGGCCAGTGTCCCACCAGGAATCTGCCTTCAGCTTATCCTGCTGGAATCAGAGCAGCAAAGTGACCACACACCAGCTCTTCTTTCTTAAAGAAAGAAAATTAACTCAAAAATCTGTCTAATTAGTCTTAGCATGATTCAGATAAAAATATGTTCAAGAAGACTGGTTTATTTATTTTTTTTTTAAATCTAGGGCTCAACCTGTTATGTAATATTTCCCAGGGTTCAGTATCTTTTGTTAACATCAGCAGAACTCCACTGTGCTAAATACTGGTGTGTTTGTTGTGTGTCTTTGGTCTCAGCCTGATGTAACTCAGTGGGAAAGATTGCCTTCCTCTTGATGTACTGTGGAATGAAGCAAAGGGATCACTCTCCTTTTTATTTTTTCCTAATAGATACCATATCAATACAATTTTTTCAAGTTCTGTCTTCTGAATGTACACAGAGAAAAAAATTCCTCCAGGAAAAGAACTTGATGAATAGCTGCTGTGAGGCTTTGTTGAAATTAAAAATAATGCCAAATATAGGGATCAGAGCCCTGTCCACTGGCTTTATTTCTTTTTTTTTTTAATGTTTTGCTTGAACACTGTTTTCCTTGCACCAGCTAATGATTATAAATGGGCTGCCAGTAGCAATCCCACTACCTGTTGAGTTTCATTTCTCAAACCCTCCCACCAACAGCAGGAACAGATCCACACAGCTACAGCAAGGGAAGGAAGGAAGGGAAGCAGGGCTGGCTGTGTGCACTGAAACCAGAACAGAGGAGTGCAGGAGACCCAGGGAGCTCTGCCCCTCATCTGACCACAGACCCAGACTATTCAGGCAAGAACTGACCTTGAAATAGAACTTCAGTTGAACATTTCCAGGCAGAGCAGGTATATGGGACAACACTCAGCTGTTTGATGGCAGCTTTTCATTCCAAACATCAGCATTGCCCTGCAAGCCTCAAGAAAAACAGAAAATCCACTTCACTAAAGCATCAGTGCTCACCAGGCTCCTGGAGCTGGGCTTTACATGTTACATGTTAGAAATAATGGGCTCTGTTATTACCTGAAGCCAGCTACTACAATTGGGTTTATTTTTAAATGGAAGGTGCTTTTGGTTCAGAGGAATTCCTGGTCATTGCTTTTCTAGGGCAGATGATTAAGAGCCAAAAAATATAAATATGTATAAATCACTTTCCTGTATCAATATATAAAAAGTCCAGTCTCTAAGACTAGGCCCACATAGCTTACAGAATAAAAAAAGCAAAAGTAGTAAGTGGAACAAACTGAACCATTGATGTATATCACTGTGATGTATATCATTATAGCAAAAAAGGATAGATGTTCAAATCCTAAATACTGCCTTTAATGAGTTCACCTTGAAAAAGACAGTATTTTCTTTTCTGTTTCCCTCCAAAGGATAAAAAGCCTGATTTTGTACAGTTATATAAATAACTGTAATATAAAGTTATGTAAGTTATATAAATGCAGAGTTCCAAAGCTGTATAGTGTTATGTTCCCAAGCAATCAAGATTTTTTTTTCTTTTAGGGAAATCAGTCAAAAATCCAATTTCTTTTGTTATTTTCAAATTGCACATGAAGAACTGCAGCTTTATTATTGCTGCCTGTCACTGCTATGATATGAGGCCGTTTTAAGGCCAGAATATGAACATTTTGGAATATGGGAGCTACTGTAGGAGCTGGGAGGCTCCACATCCTGGTGAGTGTCTGCATCTGATAACAATGCAGTCATTTTTTTGTAAGTCCAAGTCTTGTCCTGTCCCCATTTCCAAATGGGATAATCAACAAAAATGAACAAATAATCTGCTTTTAGAGTACGTTTAGATGGGGTATTGGGAAGGAATTGTTCCCTGGAGGGTGGGCAGGGCTGGCACAGGGTGCCCAGAGCAGCTGTGGCTGCCCCTGGATCCCTGGCAGTGCCCAAGGCCAGGTTGGACATTGGGGTTGGAGCACCTGGGACAGTGGGAGGTGTCCCTGACATGGCAGGGGTGGCACTGGATAATTTTTAGGGTCCTTTCTTTTTGGTTCTTTGACTTGAACTTTTTCACTTTCTGGCCAGTTCTCATCAGTGCTGGGAAAAGTTGTTTGGTATTGAGAACTTCATTAAAGTCTACAGGATTTTGGAGGGAAGAGAGAGGTTGTTATTATGTAGCACTTAATTCAGAGCCCAATAAAGAATTCAAGAGTAAAAATTCACCTGAGGGAGCACAGACAGTGATTAAACTTAAGCAGAACTTTCCTGCTAAGTTAAAGATAATACAGGAATTAAACCCAGAGGATCATTACCATAGCTCAGCAATGTAACTTATTAAGGAAAAGCAGAATCAAGATGCAACTCCTTTTTCTGAACCTGGTTGTTTCTTCTGGGATTTCTTCCATTACATGGATGAGATTCAGGGCCCAATAAAAGTTCCTGGAATTAAAGATTTGTGCTTCAGATGGAGTTTGCTTCAAAGTCCTACACCTGACACTGACTTCCAAAACAAGAGTGAATTCTCTCCTGATCAATACTGGCCTCTATAAATGTTTGACTGCTGGGACAGGAGGACATGTATGGCCTCTGTATGGAAAAAGCTGAAAGTTCCCATTACAGGAAAACACTGATTTGGCTCTTCTCTTGATACTTCCCTTTCCCCAGGTCAGAAACAAGAACACAGCTTTTCCATTTGGGAAAGATGTTCTGGCCTTAAACTGTGTCCTCTTGAGGTTCCTGGGGAGTCCTGGTTGGAACTGGACAACTGATATTGAATGGTTCCAAGCTGCCTATTAACTCTGAAAAGCATCTGTTCTTTGATGGACTTTAAACAGAGACCTAATTAAAGTTCTGAAAGAGAGTGATGCTCACAGAGGCTTTGTTTCCTTTAAAAAAAGCTCTTTAAGAGCCTGGGCTTTTGTAATTCCTGTTTTTTTATCCCTTCCTGTTTGCTTACATCCTTTAAGGCACTGATTAAAGTGGCCTGCAAGTTATTTTGAAAACTGTAAGATAATCTTTCTTACTTCTGAGTGAAGAAAACACTTAGCACTACTAAATGAGGGGGGAAAAAAAAGAATCAAGTTCCTTTGGATCTACACATTGACTGTTTTCTCTGTTTTATGCTGTACCTTTTTGCATTGGCAGCTTGTAGTGCAAATAATTTTTACTTCACTGGCTGGACAAAAGTTAGAACTAATTTATACCAAATATAGCACTAATCATAGAAACAGTGCAGCCCTGAATAAATAACAAAGAGTAAAATTCAAACAAATTCTTTCTGGAATGGAAACCACTTTTTCTATTTTTTTTTTTCTTTTAGTTTTTTAGGTTTTTTTTTTTAATGTAACTGGTTTTTATTGCATTCTTCTTTCATGGGTTGTACCACTACCTCCTAACTTTTACCCTGCTACTGGGCTAAGAGAAACAAGAAAGGAAAAACTTACAGATTGGCAAAAAGAAAAATACTTCAGAGAAGCCCTGAAGGCAGGTGAAGCATCAGCTCCCTGTGAGCCCAGCAATGGTCAGCTGGAGCAGCACTGAAAGAGGAAAATCTGCTCATTGCAGCCCTCTGCATCCTTGGCTTCTCATGGTTGAGAATGATCAGAATTAGGGGCAGCCCGTGTAAAAGTGGTTTGTCTTCTGGATTCCAGCTTTTCCTGTTGCCAT